ACGGTGTAGTCGCGGGTATGACCAATCGTGTCCAGTGGAACAATACGAAAAGTGTCTTTATGTAAAAATATATCTGTACCTATTCGTTAAACTTACATTATATTTTTTGAGTTGAGACCACTTGTACCTTTTGATTTGTAAAAAATGCCCGATAACTAAAATTATGCCTTTAAAAACAGTGAGTTATGCCCTTAGTGCAATAAGAAAAACGACGTTAGGAAACTGCTATTTAATCGATGAAGCTGGTGAAATAAAAACAAAAAGGCATAAATCGTCGTATTCCGTTTTTCAGTGGAGGCACCGCATTTTGAACGAATTTCAAAAAAACAATATGCAAACGAACACTCGTAAATTAATGCAATGTATTACGATCACGTGGCATGTGTATGCCACATGATCGTAATAAATTGCGGCGTAAACTTGTGGTCCTTCTTCAGTAAGTCATGAACATCGAACGAGCTACTTTCGTACAATGCACTCAGTTTCGTGGTACGGCAGCTTCGTCAAGTTTTTGGTCAAATTTTAATACGATTAGTGATGTTCACTCGATGCAACACAGTTCTCGATTCCAATCGATTTAGGAAACAAAAGAATGATCATTCTTAGACTTTAGAAAATTATGTAAAAATATTCCATAAAGTTTGTTCTTGTTTTTTTTTTTTTGTTTTCCGGAGCAACTTTTTTTTTTCAAAACACGTATTAATTATTCTGGTTACATTATTCTGGTATTATCTTACTATATTAATATTTCACAGCTTCTTGTCATCAACAAATACTTGAAAAATCATTGTTCTGAATACGTGCCGCTTCCGCGTCTTCGATTTAATCAATCGATTTAGTGCCGAATGAGGTTCCCATCACTAAATAGCGCTTGTGACGTCATCGGAGGTACAAAAATGTGGCACGCTTGGTTTTCATACAGATCGCGGTACTGGCCGTGTCTATTTAGATAATGTCTGTGGTACGATAGGATGTTGATTGTATTTATCAAAATATTCTTTATTACATCAGTTTCGTAGCTCGCATGTAAATAATAGATGAGGTCAACGTTACACACGTAATGCCGACGCAACTACATCGTAAAGGTTTGTATTATTAGCAATTTTGCTAAAGTTATTAAACGCATGAAGAGATCACGACCTTGTGTTTATGTTAACAATAGTTTGCGCGATTTTTCTGTTGGTTAATATACTCATTGGGATATATAGAGAAACGCTTAAAAAGTTGAATTGACAACAGCACATTTTTCCCCACAAACTCATTATAAAACTTTACCTTGTAGACACATAATTATTAATACAAAGATCGAACACTTAGAAAAAAATACTTCGATCCGGCCGGATTCGAACCGACGTCTCCTAGCAAACGGTGCCAGACACTATGCCAACTAAGCTAAGACGCCAAGCTATCATATGAATCCGGCCGGATCGAAAGAATTTTTTCTAATTGTTGGAACTTTGTATTAATAATTATAACAAACTAGTGGAGTAATTACACAAAAAATAATTGAATATTAATTCAATGCAAATTTAATTGTAAATACATGTTTTGTCATATATATATATATATATATATATATATATATATATATATATATATA